TTTCCTCCAAATTTTCTCCTGTGCAAGTTATTATGGGTCTACGAGACATTTAATAATGGTGCTTTCCGAAGAAACCCTAAAACTGCTCTGATTCCTTTACGTGAACAAGAATCATAGGTGATCAACTTCTCCCCATCAGTCTTTCTGAGTAAGCCTATAAAAATGAGTATTTAATCAGTCTGGCCGAAGGGGGAAAAGTACAAGAGTGGGTCTCTCTTGACCACACTCTCTCCAATGTTATTCTTAAGAAAAATGATTTTAATTGTAACCCTCCATGCCTTGTTTCTCTTGCTCTCTCTCCCATTTCCTGGAAACAGGGAGAAGAACTGTGCCACACACTAAAGCTTTACACACACACACACACAGAAAAAAAACACACATTGCTGAATTTATGATCCCGCCTGCTTGCTGCATATGACCAATCAAAACAGCCACCGTTCAAAACACCTCCAGATGTTGGAACGTCAGCCGGAGCAAAGGGATGATTACGAGTCACTGAATCATAGGTGTGGGAAAAAATGCCCACATCGCTACAACAATGACTGTAGAGTAAGTATATGTGTGTGTGATGTGGAAAGTGTTGTTGAATGATTTGCAAATGTGGTAAATTGGCAATGGAGGTCTTTCTCATGATCGTGCTGAACTGACCTTTGACACGGGGTCCAAATATCAGGGAAGCGTTCACTCACGCAATAGCACACATGAACACACACAAAGGGGGGAGAAGCATACTGGAGGTCTTGGTTTTTTCACTTGTCCCAAAGCAAAACAACTTAAAGGAACACTAAACTCCTAGAATTAAGCCATTTTTAAACTATTTTTGAATCCATTTGGGTGATTTCCCCGTTTAGAACATTTAGCTTAGCTTAGCATATATCATTGAATTGGATTTTTAGATTAAATTCAAATCATTTTAAGCTTGAGTCTTTGGTTACATTTTAAGAATGTCCAGATCAGGTTTTTTTTTTTCTTTTTTGCCTTCGAGTATAAGTCATTTGATTTTGAGTATCTACCGATACCAAAACACAATCCGATATTTCAATAATACAAAAAAAGAATAAAGAAGAGCAAAGAAACAGATCCAGGACTTTCCTTATTTTTTAGTTAATTTGTATTCAGTGGGGTTGCCTGGGTTAAATTGCTTTATTGTATCAGGTGTTTGTTTTTTAATTGCCTTATTAGGTTTGTAGTGTTAAATGTAGCTTTTTCCTTTCCACCTCTTGCAACTCTAAGTTTACATATCTCACAGTTTGCTATGGCAATGTTGTCATCATCAACTTTATAATACCTCCAGACCACAGAATTACTCGCACTTTCTGCTTCAAGCTGCTTCAATGTTCTACTTTGCTGGCATTTAACCAATGGCATAAATAATGATAATATATATATATATATATTATATATATAGTATATATATATATCTCTTCAAGTCCTGATCGGGAGATAATATCTGAATCCGATCGAGTCCGAAACCGCAATATTGGGCCCAATTTCCGTTCACGTGATTGGATATGGACAGACAACCCTATTACATTGTGTACTAAGACTGCCGGAAAACCAAAAGTTGCCATTTTCTAGGCAGATATGGCAAGGAACTATACTTGGGTGGCACAATATATTCTTTCAGCTTCGATAAATCGCAACATGAACATTGGCTATAAAAATTATTATAGCATTATATAGCCACAGTTCAAAATACACAAGATTTGTGGAGTTACTCCAGATTTTAACTATAATGGAGTAAAAGTTTGTCATTTGCATAAGATTTTAAGTGCTAAGAGAATTTAAAGCATTTAGACACAAGCAATTTTACTATTTATAACTTTAATAGAAAATAATTTTATTCATTCATTTGTTACCTTCAGCTTAGTCCCTTTATTAATCAGGGGTCGCCACAGTGGAATGAATTACCAACTTATACAGCATATGTTTTAAGTAGTGTAACGCCCTATTCACACGGGGCTTCAGCGTCAACGCTTGACAGAGGGCGTGTCTGAAGTTGGAGCTGAAACGATCGTCATAGAAGCGTCAGCCAATGAAATTCAGTCAGCAATAGGCCACTGTCTGAGCTGGTGTATTTGCATACAGCGATCTGATTGGCTGACGCTTCCGTCGGCGCTTGAAAAGTTGAGCTGGTCCCAACTTCTGCAGCGAGGAACGCTTCTGAAGCGGCGCCGACGGATCCACAATGCAGTTCGGCAACGCCTGACGTCACCCATTCAAAGTGAATGGGAAGCGTTGACGCTGACGCCCCGTGTGAATAGGGCGTAATGCCCTTCCAGCCGCAACCCAATGCTGGGAACCACCCATACACTACGGACAATTAAGCTTATTCAATTAAACTATATAGCATGTCTTTGGACTGTGGGGGAAACCGGAGCACCCAGAAGAAACCCACACAAACACGGGGATTACATGCAAACTCCACACAGAAATGCCAACTGACCCAGCTGGGACTCGAACCAGTGACCTTCTTGTTGTGAGGCGGTCGTGCTACCCACTATGCCGCCACGACTCCTCAAAAATCATTTTATTAAACTATTTATACCATAAAGTCTTTGCAGTGTTATTTTATGTTTGATTATTTCAATTTCTTCATCTAAATAGGATTTGACTATACCCTGAACACCATAAAGCACTGTTTATTTCACTTTTACATTTGCTCTGTTGCATTTAGCTATGCTTGTACTTTGTTTATTTCATTTCATGCATGATTTGTTCCCCTACAAAATGCATGATTTGTTCCCCAATCAATCGAAAATTAATTAATCGTTCCCAAATAGACCTCTTCAATTCATCTTGTAAAACTGTATTCATATTGTTTATAAATAGTAAATATCGCAATGTCAGATTTTATCATACAGCCCTAAACTATACTCTCATTACATATTAAACAGCTCCTAAAAATAGTCCCCAGCACTAAACCCTATACTTGCACGACCAGTTAGAATCAGCATAATATCTTAACATCTTACACCGGTAAAGAGATTATAGTAAAAGGAAAATCATCAATACTTTGGCAACTTTTGAGTGAGATGCTAATGGTCTAATCTGATCCAATTATCTATGCTAAGCTAAGCTAAAAGTGATTCCGACAGACTTCGAGATCAGCTGATAAATCTCAAATGTTTAATGCTAGGAAAGTTAAAGAAATAAAGTAAAGCTTTAGATTCCTTTAAAATGCAGCATAATCAATCGAAAGAAATGTTTACATTGTTTTATTTATGGAGTAAACATCCATAACTATCTTGAGTTTGGTTGATTTGAATGCATGATAACAACAAAGTCATTGCAAACTGAGGGCCCGCATCAGCAGACCAGAAGTTTTGTACATGTTTAGAATACGCCAATACCAAACCACTGACCTCAACTTGTGATACTTTAACTTGTTTAAATTCTACTCCGCTAAAGTTACAACAAAAGGAAAACGAAAGGACTTGAACATCATTCTGCAGTAAACTGTCTACTGCTGATGTAGAATATAATGCAAGTGTTGAATGATGAGCTTTAACCATAATGATGTTGCTTCAAAAACTGTTTATATACAGATTTTGCAAATTATGAGGGCCAAATTCATGAAAAATGCGTAACTCACTCAAAAGTTGCCAAAATATTGATGAGTTTCTTTTTACAATTGTAGTTGAATTGACTTTTGAATCAGTCAAGTTATTAGGGAAACACAGGTATGGGATTTTTGGCTGATATATTGCGATATCAGTTATTTCTTCTATATTTAAAAGAGTATCCCAACAATGACAGAAGCCACAAAAATGAAATGATCAATTAAATAACATTACCTATTTTCAGTGCATGATAATATTTGGCAGCCAAAAAAAATCAGTGCAACTCTAATATCAATACACTTCTAGATTCCAATTGTTGCACATTTCTGCTGTGTGATTGAGTCTTAGGTCAATATAGAGTAAAAAAAAAAAGTCCAAAGCTTATCATTGTTATTGACATAAACTTTAGTGTGATTCGATATAATATTGTTTATAGGCCCAGCCCCAATACGCATCAATATATCATGATTGCCTACGAATCCTATTTTACATAGCTGATATTTTTGGATTTGAAGGTTTGGTTTAGGATTAGACCTAAAGTAGAAAAAATCTGTATATCTTTGAAACGTCTTTACTAATATAGCTTCAAAAGTGTTTTTTTTTTTATCTTGACCTTGAAGCCTCAGGAATTGAAAATATTCTTACAAATAGATGAAAATGTGTTGAAAGTTGACTTGTGGTGACATTTTAAGTGACCATCAATGTCTGGCAGACTGATAAATCAACCAAATTATGTTTTGCTTACATTTACAGCCATAAGCAGCTTTTAAAGAGGCACAGTTTACACAAAAACTCTGTCTTCCTTTATTCACCTTCAAATCATTGCAAAGCTAAATGACTTTCTTCCTTGGAGGATAAAAGACAGTTTGAGAAACGAAAACCCAAAGTTATACGTGAAATAATGGTGAATAAATGATGATTAAATTGTCATTTTATTGAACTATATAATAGATTCTGTAATGAAAGACTGTCAAATTATGATACCTTGATGGATCATGACATTGTATTGTTATACTTTAAAACTATCAGAAATATAGGCATTACTGAATTGAACTTTTATGAAACGCCAACAACAAATCCCTGAACGTTTTTCTTAACCTTGTTTTCAAGGTCTAACCTCAACATTTTTATACTAAATGAACATTAGAAGTTTAAATATTACATTTGTGCATGCAACAGCTCAAGTTTAACAACTTTAACAGGTTACAATGCAAAGCTACTCAAAAATATATAACATCCACACACTAATCAGCATGTCCTACACAGACAAGGAGAACTAACCTTCAAGATGGTCTTCGAGGAAACATTGTGATATATTTAGACAAACTATTTATGTGACTCGACGCCAAGCAGCACCACAAAGTTAGCAAAAAGTATTTTCAAAACATTAAACCGACTTCTAAATTCGTCAAGGAAGTGTTCAAGAAGTTAACGTACCCAGTAACATAGTTTCTAGTTTCTTGCGGTCAACTCGAAACCTCTCTTCGGTCCAGTCTGGGTCAGGCGGGGAGATGTGGCCGCAGTGGCCGCTGGAATCATCCTCAGACACGGCAGACGGAGAGTCGTCACTCCGCTCGCTGCTGGAGCCATGATCATGATGCATAAAACTCAACGGTTCGGCCATTGTCCCCTAAAGTGTTTTAAACTTAATGTGCTGGGTTTGTATGTGGAAGAGGTAAACGGCTAGTGAACATTAGGAGAAAAACATCCCGATTCGCAGGCAAGTTTTTCCCTTGTCCTGCCCTTGAAGTTCCTTGAAGCCCTTCTGGCCAGTCGCTACCCCCGAGAAAGTTTCAGTCTGGCCCAGATTCCTATGTACTCCACTTTTCCTCTGGCTCCAGGAGCAGAGCACAGCACACTATAGCTGCAGGTCATGGATGCATGGATGGATTGAGCTCCTGCGGGATCGTTCACGTGTCAGGATCACCGCCCACTCTCCTCCCAAAACTTTCTCATCATCACAACCAGTTTGCACGGTAAAAAAACGATCAATCTAAACATTTATTTATTTTAACGTTTTAAGTAAATACAACTTATGTACATTTAATTAATACAAAACAACTTGGTTGCACTTTTCTATGGTTCCGTTTTAAACAAATGGCCACAAAAGGGATGATGCACCCAAAATTACACTGATTATTCATTTACCCTCAAGTCGCTCAAAACCTTTACGCGTTTCTTCCTTCTGTTGAACACAAAATAATATCTTTTGAGGAAAGCAGGAAACCTTTAACCACTGACTTCTATAGTAATAAACAAACACTATGGAAGTCAATGAATGGTTACAGGTTTCCAACATTTCTCAAAATATCTTCTTTTGTGTTCAACTCATAAAGGTTTAAGGTTAAACTGTGCCTTTAAGTATAATCCATTATTATAAAGATTAATTAAAAAATGTGTCATCAAAAGACTTATTTCTGAAATAAAAGCAAGGGTAACACTTTATTTTATAGATCTATTTGACTATTAGTAGACTGTCTACTAAAACTAGTCTGTTGATACTGCTCCTTCAACTGACATTTAACTGACTATAAGAAACTTTGCAGGTGCATATCAACTTACCCCAACCACAACAACAGTCTACTTATATTCTAATGAGAATTAGTTGGCATGTAGATGCAATGTAACTTAAATTCAACAAACAGACCTTCAAAATAAAGTGTGACCAAAGAAAGTTCAGCGTTGGTAAAACTCTTTGCCATGATGTAATATTATAATTTCCTAATAACGGTAAAAGTAATTTTTTTATAAACATTGATTAGCTTTAACCTTGGGCCTTAACCAACATAGATGAATTAATTTTGTTGTCATGCGACAAGAAGCATGTACTCACACACACATATATACATATATATATATATACATATATATATATGAATACTTATTTTCTGAATTGTGAAACCACCAAGGGTGATTTACTTCAATTGTGGAATAAAAACATCATCTTGAAATTCAAGCATGAAATCTGTTTTCAGAAAATAAACTAAAATGCATTTTAAAAATGACATATTGTATGTTTTTTTAAGAGAAATGCTTTTCATCAAATTTAGGTTTTGTTCTTTAAAAAAGGTCAGAATATTTGTATTGTTTTTGTAAGATATTTAATATAAAATGAAGTTGTCATTAAATCAACCTCTTGTAAAATATTTTTACCAAATGTATTAATATTACAAAACTACATTTCTACTGACTTATTTTAAAATACGCTATAAAGTATTTAATTTAAACTTATTTTAACCATGTTTACATATTCCTATTGGAGGCTCTCATGGATGCATATAAAACAGCTAATATCGCCATCTAGTGGCACAAACAAAAATACTGAGCAGTGTCCAATTCCAACATCACACAAATATAGAAAATCATTCATTCATTTTCTTTTCAGCTTAGTCCCTTTATTATTTTGGGGTCGCTACAGCGGAATGAACCGCCAACTTATCCAGCACATGTTTTACACAGTGGATCCCTTTCCAGCTGCAACCAAACACTGGGAAACACCCATACACTCTTCCATTTACACACATACACTATGGACAATTAAGCTTACCCAATTTGCCTATAGCGCATGTCTTTGGACTGTGGGGGAAACCAGAGCACACGGAGAAAACCCACTCAAACACTTGGAGAACATGCAAACTCCATACAGAAATGCCAACTGACCCAGCCGGGGCTCGAACCAATGAACTTCTTGCTGTGAGGCGATTGTGCAAAGCACTGCGCCACCGTGACGCTAAATATAGAAAATACCTTACAATATAAACATCTGCAACGAGGCACATCTTTATAATAACACCTTTTAATGCAAAAACAATAAAAATGATCCAATATTGTTTTTATTTCTATACAATAAAATTACTAAAATGTAACTAATCCATTGGAAAATAAAAACATTTTTTTTTGTCTGTGTGTGTGTTCACTGACAGGTTGTTCCTGGATGCCTCTGTGAGCAGAGATGATTGACTCCGTCTGAACAAGGGCTTTCTGTAAAATTGTGCGTGTAAATATGTTTGTGAGTTTGTGTTTATGCATATGTGTGTGTGGGGAGGTTCATCTGTTGGTAAACGTCTCGTCTCTGTACAGGTGCAGTACAGATTCGTGTGCAGCAATAGTGTCCATGTGCAACCAATTCAAAACCTTATGGTCCAGTTACATTGCGTACTTCTGAGTCCATTCCCTTGCCAGTCTGTTATACCTAAAAAAAAAAAAGAATATTAATAAAATGTTTATACAAATGAACAGCACATGGCTGCTATTAGGCCTTTTTAACACATAATATATGAAATAAAAGTGTGAAAAAATTATCAGTTTTAAAACATTCATTCAATCTCCTTTGGCTTAGTCCCTTATATACCAGGGGTTACCACAGCAGAATGAACCACCAACTATTCCAGCATATGTTTTACGTAGTGGATGCTCTTCCAGCCGTAACCCAGAATTGAGAAACACATACACACTTTCTCATTCACACATGCACTCATACATTTCGGCAAATTTAGTTTATTCAATTCACTTATGTCTATATGTCCTTGAACTGTGGGGGAAACCGAAGCATCCAGAGGAAACCCATGTAAACAAGGAAAGAACATGCAAACTCCACAGAGAAATGCCAACTGGCCCAGCCGGGACTCGAACCAGCAACCTAGCCTGTGATAGTGCTAATAACTGAGCTATCCTGGCACACAGTTTTGTAACAGAGAGATGTATTGAATCTTAAAACAAAACCTTGAAAAAAAAAACCTTTTGTGTCTTATAGAATATGAGGCTTTAATTTTACAAGAAAAGTAAACAATAATCCAAATTGAGCGAAAACATGCAATTTGTTCTACTGCTGATATTTAGAAGTTAAAAAATATATAGATTTTGACATTGTAATGTACAGTCGAACTCAGAATTATTAGCCCCCTGAATTATTCACTCCCATTTAATTTTTCCCCAATTTCTGTTTAACAGAGAGAAAAAAATTTTTCAACACATTTCTAAACAAAATAGTTTTAATAACTCATTTCTAATCACTGATTTATTTTATGTTTGCCATGATGACAGTAAATAATATTTTACTAGATCTTTTTCAAGACACTTCTACACAGCTTAAAGTGATATTTAAATGCTTTACTAGGTTAACTAGGCAGGATAGGGTAATTAGGCAAGTTATTGTGTAATTATAATTTGTTCTGTAGACCATCAAAAAAAATTTACTTAAAGGAGCTAATAATTTTGTCCCTAAAATGTTTTTTTTTATTTATTAAAACTGCTTTTATTCTAGCCGGATTAAAGCAAATAAGACTTTCTCCAAAAGAAAAAATATTATCAGACATACTGTGAAAATTTCCTTGTTTGTTAAACATCATTTAGGAAATATTTAAAAATAAATAAATAAATAATCAAAGGGGGGCTAATAATTCTGACTGTATATCAATGAGAAGTTTATAATATTATAGCATACTTCTTAAGATTTCACTAAACAATATGAAACATCAGTTAGTATATCAAGTATGGTTACATTTGTAACTATAATAATGTGCCTTAGTATAATTATATTCAACCCTTGTGAATCAATTTTTAAAAAGTTACAAATTGTTTCATACACGGCTAAAATATCCATACAACAATAACATATTAGTATCGAGTTTTAATATATTTTTTGCAATTTCACTGACACAGATTTTTTTTTTACGAGCATCTGATAATAACCATTTAAAATTCAATTATTTGAAGGATTATAAGCCTTCAAATTATAGTTGGTTTACATAATGCCACCGTTGTTGCTTTTGTATTTTTTATTACTATTAATATTTTCCCTATACTAAATCAGTGGTCACCATACTTGGTCCTGGAGGGCCGGTGTCCTTCAAAGTTTAGCTCCAAATTTCCTCAATACACCTGCCTGGAAGTTTCAAGTATTCCCAATAAGACCTTGCTTAGCTTGTTTAAGTCTGTTTGATTGGGGCTGACGCCAAACCAAAGCCTATTGACCTTATTCTGCATTGCGGAAGTGTGCTCATTTTTGTGATTGTTTTAGAACTTCCGATTCGGCTGCCTATGGGAGAAATGACTAGGTATAATAAATGGCAGAAAATTATCAAACTACTTGCTCTACAAACAAGTGCGCTTATTACTATACATAAAAAGTATTATAATAAACTAATAAAAGATCAGTTTACAACATGGCGCAGAAAAAGGAGTATTTTACAAGATCTAAAAGTCATTGGAAGTGATTGAGACTGGAAATCTCACACCAAAAAGTATCCAATGAGTGAATCCGCTTGTACGTGAGGAATAAGGTCAATTGAAGGAAAGCCTGAAATGATTTGCCTAAATAGCAAAATGGCTAATGCTAACATTGCCTCTATGTCAGTATGCAGGAAAGGAGACTAAAAGCCGCTATTGCTTAGAGCGTTACAGGTATTCCAATGGTAGGTGCAGACATTTTCATCTCCCTAAATAGTAAGAAATTCTCTGGGTAAAATCTGCAGGACCCAGCCCTCCAGAAACAATCTTAGTGACCCCTTAACTAAAGGCTGAGCAGATTTTTTGCTTTGTTTATTACAATCTTGGATAAGTCAATTTTCGTAATAAACACACTACCATTCACACACATACACATTTCTCTATGTAGAGTAAACAAACAAAACACCCACAGTATTATAATAACATATGTGTTATTAACTTGGCCTGCAGTTTTCAAAGGCTGATTTATTTCCTAGGTCATTCTGGGAAAAAATGTGATGGAGATGTATCTGATACACTTTTTAACACGATTTTCTCAAAAAACAAAATGTATATGGACTATCAAGTAAACCTAAGTTGCGTTAGTAAAGGTTTTAAAAAGAATATAATGCTATACATACCATTTTATAATAATATATTTTACAATATATAGTATATAAAAACGCGACTATGATGAACCAGACAGAAAAGGTCAGATCAGCCAGATCAAAATCACTTACTTATCTTTGTCTGATTTGTAGATGTGTGCAATATCTGGAACTAAAGGGTCATCTGGATTGGGGTCACACAGAAGTGAGCATATGGATAATAAAACTGAAAGGAAAAACACAGACAAGAATCGTTTTATTGGCGTCAATAAAAGTAAAGAGAACATTGCTCAAATAAAATCACATTTGGCCACAATACTAAACTCCAATTCCTTTTAGGTTTTCTTTGCATGTCCATTTAAAAAGAACATTTAATTGATTCTCACGTTTATTTATGCAAGACAATCATCAACACAAAACACACTCAGCAGAATACTGTTGAATTAGATTTACTAAAAAAAAATATTAGCACAAAAATTAAAATTCTAGAGATTACTAAATCCCTAAATTAGACACATTTATGATGAAAAGATAATAAAAGTCCAGTTAATTAAAGTCAGCATACAACAGAAGTTGCACTCATCTTTCATTTAACCATTCCTAATGTTCTATAGATCCATGTAAAACAGCTTTTTTAAACGAGAATAAATGCAGCAGTTAATATGGCACACTGGAAATTAACTGGGCTGCTGTTTGATTGTTGTTCCTATGATCTGATTTCATTGACAGATTGCTCCGCCAAGTGAGCCCACAATTAAACACATCATCAGAGAAGAGAAAATATGTTATCGCTGTAGTGATGCTTTTTTGAATTAGGATCATAATGGCAAAAATTACTGATAAAAAATAGAAATATAAACATATAAAAAAAATAAAAATAATGATAATGTACTTTTGATTTTATGTTATCTGTAAGGTCTGTGTGAACCAGAAGTTGTTGAGTTTTTTTTATTTCAAAATGTTGATGTACTTTCAACCGAAACGGAATATTGAGTAGGGGCGGGGATTTCTTTTCGTGCATCATTCCCTCTTAGCAAATAAATGGTAACCAGTTGTGGTTAAAGGCCCTGTGAAGTGCTTTGAAATGCATATTTTTGTTCAATGTTTCACGTGATCTCAACCAATAAAAGTGAAGAGTGGGTGGGAGTATAGCTACTCGCCTTTTAAAAAAACAGACAAGAGTAATTTGTTTATCACTGCTCCGCCAGTGAGAATGGTTGCAAAATGAAAGAGGTGGAGAATGTCAAATAAAGAGCATTTGATTGATCACGATTTGATGAGAATCTAAAGTTTGAGGTGACGTGAATACAACCGTTGTGACAAACAACAAGCTGTACATGTTTATAACAGTTTAAAATCTTCTAAAAGTGAATTTTGTCACTGTTTTGTTGCACACTTGCTTATAGACATCCTAAAAATTAACAAAACTGATACTAACATCTAAAAAATAAACTTTATTTTAATGTTAAGAGACATTTAAGAATATTGTGGCTGAAACTGTCAAACTGATGTTAACAGAGGGACCGCCTCTCCAATCGTACAAACAAATGGTCAAGATTTATTTGAAGAGTACCAAAAAAATAATAATTCAGTGGATCAACTGCACAGATTAATTATTCACCTAAAGAATAACAATGTGCACTAGCAACATTAACATTGTAAATTTTGTGTATCATGTTGTCTTTAAGGTTGACGTGATTTCTAACCTTTGGATACAGTGAGTGCAGGTGACCATTGGGAACGCAGAATATCCAAACAGATGCTTCCATTGCTGTTGATATTTGGGTGATAGATTTTCGTTGTGAAGGCAACCTGTCAGAAAAAACATAACGTCAAATATTTAAGAACAAGTCATTTATGTAAGAACAAATTTATGTAATTGTCCAGTTACCTTTGGTGGTTTAAAGGGATAATCAGTCGGGAAATGAATTGTGAGGAAGAAAACACCTCCTTGATATGGACTATCACCCTAGTAAGAGATGAAGCGAGAGTTTATGTATAACCGAATTCCTTGGTTTAATTGAGCCAGTAAATCATTTCAGAAAATACTGAACAAAAATTATTCTTGTGTACTTACCGGGCCCATTATTGTCGCCTGCCAGTGAAACACTGAAAATGCAAATATTATATAATCAAAGCACAATGTTCTGTAAAATAATTAAAGACCATAATTGTGAATATATATTGAGCAGACACACTTACAGTCCTCTCCGAGTGGTCCAGCTGAGCACTGCGAGGGTGGATCCCGTTGCAAGTCCTGTAGTTCCTATGAATAAAGTATCAAAAAGGTATATTTACTTGCTTCAAACAGAGACTCAAAAGCTTTACAGAAAACTTTAAGTAGGATCATTGTAATGAAAAAAAGCCTATATTCTAAATTAAATATTAATATATAAAATTAATGGTATTTAGCTATGAAAAAAGGACAAAATTTTGTAATGTATGTTGCTTTAATAGCATTTTACTAATACTACTGAAGACCTTTAGTCTAAATGTAAAGAACAATTTTGACATGCTTGTATTTATTTTCTGGACAAAGCGCTGCCAATGTTTCTACCTCAGAAGAAGAAATCAATGTTTGGTCAAATAACCAAAATTGTCACAACAACTAAAAGCATTTGTTATTATGAACAACAGTCAGTAAAAGAGCTATAAAGAACAGTATTGCTATTTGAAATTTGAAAGAAATTTGATCAGAAATCATTACAATAAAACTATTAATATTTTACTGTGGTCTGATATTTTAAGTGTGTGTCTGTATTTTGTTTCTATTCTGATGAGCCAATTTTTACTGTAGACATTTTAAATTAATATGAAGTTTTAACGTAGTGGTATGTTTGTACTATATGTTTATGTTAAAGTGCATAGTAGTAAATATTTATTTTTTATTAAATAACTGTTCTTATTTCAGCTTTAATTGCTTTATACATTTATAACGTCTAGACATGACTGATTATGTAATGTGCATATACAATATGCTGTTATATAATCAATATTAACTTATTATTGTTATTATATTTACTGAAATTATAATCTTATTATATCCCATATTATAATCTCTAAAATACAATTTAACATTATATTTTAAATATGTATTTTATTTAAAGTTCTTACTGTAACGTTATTGTGTATGCTTAACAGACTTTTCCCCCCTCACAATTTATATAAGGTCAGCATTAACTACAGCTACGGAAATATCTCTCGCCAATCTAAAGTGAACCAATGCAATGGTATACTTGTTACAATTACAATGTAATATTTTTGATGTCGTTATATGACTTGACTTCGCTTTGTTCTCGACATCAAGCTCTTTTCATCTGGCCGAAAAATAAATTCCTCTAACCTCTGACTTTACATAGTAATGTGGACTGAGAGATGATTCGTTATCCCAGACACGAGTAGATCTCCAGAATCGACGTAAAGCTAGTCTACTTTTAAGACATTTATTATTTTCTAGAAATAAAAAACATTACCTTTTGGATCCTTTTCAAAGCCATCAGACCTCCGCTTCTTTTCTCTCTCTGTCTGTGGATGTGAAGGGAAAAACAATGACAGGGCGGACATGAGCGGAGTTTACTTCAAAATAAAAGTCCTACTTGTTATTGACATTAGCAAAAACAAACAAACAAACAAAAAAAAACAAAGCGCGTGGGATGGTTCGTTCAAAAGTTGATTTATTATTATTATATTTATAATGTATTTATTATATATTATGTTATTATACAATAAACTGTGACAAACTATATTACGATCGTATGATCTGTACCTGTATTTATTCGCTTTTTTTAAATACACAGCTTATTTTTATTGCTTCTTGTGTCATTATTAACGGTGTTTTGCTTTTACATGTTTACTTTATGTCCCAGTACTGAGTTGCGGCTGGAAGGGAATCCGCTGTGTAAAACATGCTGGAATGGTTGGTGATTCATTCTGCTGTGGCGACCTCTGAAATAGCCGAAGGAAATTAATGAATAAATGTTTACTTTAACAGTATCTCATTTACATAAAAGCATACAAAACATCACAAAAGTGTACATCTGACGCTATGTTTTGCACTTGACCATGAAATTTAGCTGGACATAAAACACCCTGTTTTTAAGGTTTGGGTCCCTGTCTGTACACTGCAGTCCTAGAGGTATCCTGCACAAATATGTGTGTTTCAGAGAATACTAAATAATGCACTAAGGTGATTTAGATGAAAGCATTTGCCACATTAATGCATGTCCACATAAAATGCACCAAACAGGAAGGGAAGGGCACTGGAAGGGCAGGGTGTTTAGTGGATGGGTGCTGAGGGATTACTGTAATTCATTTCTGATGCAGCATGCAGATGTTCTGTGTGCTAATCGCAAATTAGAGCTAATCCCAGTAAACAACATATCAGACAGAATTACTGCCTGCATCCTCTGCGATGAACTCCACTTCACTGCTGTGTGAATTACATGTTTACTTGCAGGAAATAATCTGATTGTTTATGGAGCCTTGCTTCTGTAGCTTTCATATCGCTTGTCTGTCTTGTTTATGCAGATATACATTCATGTAGACTATGTAATTCAGGCAGGCTAATTGTTAGCTTAGAGTTAAATTTGGTCCATATTGTTTTTCATGTGAAAATTGTACATAGGTTGGTTAGGTTAAATGTATCCATTTTGTTTTGTTGTCTGAGTGTGTATTTACATGTGCTATAGGTGAATTGGGTAAGCTAAATTGTCTGTTGTATATGTGTGTGAATGAGTGTATATGGATGTTTTCCAGTGGTGAGTTGCAACTGGAAGGGCATCTGCTGCATAAAAACATATGTTGGATAAGTTGGTGGTTCATTCCACTGTGGTGACCCCAGATTAATAAAGGGACTAAGCCGAAAAGAATTGAATGAATAAATACAATTCATAGTTTCTTTATTATCAATAAATGATCAAAGTCTTAAGTATTTAGGGAATTTCTGAACTGCTGAGACTTTCTTACAATTTTCTAAATAATAGTAAAAAAAAACGTGGACAAAAATCTTGATTTCAGAGGTCAGAAGAGACTTGCCACTTAATAGAATGGCAATACTACCAGGAAATAACCTCTTATTACAACTGAGGTTTGCAGAAGAGCATCTCTGACACAACACTTTGAACAGCAAACTGAGTCTAGAGTTCACACAGACAATAGAAAATTGGAAAAATGCTGTCTTTCCTGAGAAGTCTCAATTTCTTCTGCGTTGTATTTAGATCATAGGGTCAGAATTTGGCATAAACAACAGTAGAGAAAAGTATTTATCATGCTTTGTATCAATGGTTCAATCTTCTGGTGTTGGTGGTCTAGGAAAGATATATTTGTTGCTTGTTTTGGGGCCTTGAGTACCACCTGAGCATAATTCAAACATTAAATGTGTGATTGTGCATGGCTGCTACTGGCATTAACAATAGTATATTACTACAGGTTATGGTGCAAATTACCCCCCCCCCCCCCCCACCCACCCAATTAATGCTTGATCCCCCCTAAAGGACATCAAAATAGGATGTATGGTGGGTCAGCGACTTAATAGTAAGAAATGGCTTTCTCTGATCTTTGATCAACATCTTAAATATTAATAATTAAAAATGTATAATATAACCCTCCATAATGGTTCACACCATTGTAAATGCATGATCACAACAATCAATAAAAAATATCATTCAACAGTCTGGCAGTTTTAGTAAGTATCTTAAGTATTCTTAATCTTAGTATTTACAAAACACGTTTCCTGTAAAATAGGTGTTTATATCGCATGTAGCATAATAGAAAGAATAGACACACAATTTTAATAGTTTGACCTACAGTAACCCCTAAAATAGTCACTAAATAATATCTCTTAAAACACTGAAAACGTATACATTTTATTAATAAATTAGATGTAATTTAAATACATCCATAAATTTTATTCACTGAAGCATGTTTTACCAATGTATTATCGAAAAAGCTGACGTCAATGTCTAAATTGGTGACCCATTTAATGATTAATTCAGGATAATGTGACTTGTCAAAAAGCTTTCTTGAACACGACAGATGATAGAGAGTTTCTTCTCAGATCTCAATCCAACGTTGGAACAGATTTGGGATAAGCTGGAAATTGCAGATTCACATCATCATTATGTGCTTTTGATAAATCGAATTGTGTGATAATGGATCAAAATCTCAGAGGAATGTTTTCAAAGGGGGCACAACAAAACATTCAAGCAAGACCTAAGTAAGCTTACTAAAAAGTTTGCATGCCATAGCCTATGGCCTTTATTCTTATTTCATTTGGCCACCAGATGGAAGCTAACGATCAAATATGTTCACCCTTATTGCATCATAATCATGTAGACATTGTGTAGCTCAACTTTAGCTTTAGATTGCGGATCCGTAATGTACAAAATTGTACAGTAAAATCATTATTATTTATAAGTCTGCGGTTCCAGTCTCACGAAAGAATGTCAAAGGATGTCACATATTTTATCCAATTTTATATTTGACTAAAATACTTTAAAATTCCAGTGATGCTAGCTGACTAGCAGAGTAACTTCAAAAAAAGATCTTAAACTTGCTGTCAATCATAAGGTAAGATTTGTATTGTTATTAAAAGTTATTTTCTTTTACATTAGACAGACTGTTGTCATACTATTACACCAGCGGTTGTTATTGTAATAGAGGTTTAGTGTTTGTTTACCAGTTGAGGTAGCTCTCATGTTTTATTTAATATCCCAAATGGTCTCGTTTCGAAAAACCTTGTCAGCTCCACCACGTTGAACCAAATCAGCTTTGTTCAGATATGTGATTCCACAGGGCTTTTGCCAAAGGACTGCTGTGTGCCAAATGCACATCTGTATGTTTGGAGCTCTCTGCACTGCTAAGCTACTTACAAATTAGCAGTGGACATAATATTTTCTCTTTATCATTATCATAATCATCACAGCTTTGGTCTGTGCCAATCTGTCCTTTTCCTCATAACACGGACACACAGAAAGAGAGAGAGTACAACAAACATGGCTAATTTTTTAAAACTTGGCTCCATACACAGTGTCCTTTGTGGGGTTAAGTTTAAGCCTATAATCAGAACAGATGTTGAATTGGGATATAATTTATTTGATTTTGTTTTAATGCTTTTGCAACACTGTTGTTATTATTAGTACTTTACATTATGGGGCTCTGGATGCTGGTTGGTGTGCTGTCTACAACAATGTCAGATGATGCAGCACTTTCCAAATTGTTTAAAATCCCTTGAAAGTAATGTGGGCTACCATTAGAAAGAAAAACGCCAAGCAACAACCTTGTCATCATAAGTCAAATGGCGCTTTTATGTAACTCTTCTTCTGTATGCCCTATAACCAGGTTATTTAATTTTGTTTTTCATTAATGGCCATTTCCAACAATAGGCAGGATTATCTTCTTGTCTAACCCTGTACATAATTGTTTAAAAAGGACCCATCATCTGAAATTGTTATTTTGTTATGGGTATTTGGTATGAAAGATTATTGGGATCAGCAGTGATTGATAATATTTTAATAGATTTAATTCGTTCAGTAGGTCCTGAGCTCGTCTTAGGCTGAAGTGTTTTTAATCTCTGTTTTTGTGCCCCTCTCCTCTGCTAATCTGTTTTTTATTATTCTCTTTAAAGCCCTAACAAAACAATTACTTTCCTAATGTCATATTATTGAGATTACCTTTGGAAGAAAAAAATATAGATACTATAAAATTGCTTATACACCCATTACCAAATTACTACATAATATTCAACAAAGGTTACAAAAAATACCAATACAACAACAACAACAACTTTTAGCATTATATTTTTGCCATAATTTGCATTATCTCCCGGAGATGGGTTGCGGCTGGAAAGGCATCCGCTGCGTAAAAATGTGCTGGATAAGTTGGCGGTTCATTCCGCTGTGGCGACCCAGATTAATAAAGGGACTAAGCCGACAAATAAAATAAATTAATGAATGATTTGCATTATCTTAAAATTGTTTATTTGTAAATAGTTGTTATTAAACAATGACATTTGGGTTACAGTGTATATTTATTTTTAGGGCGACACAGTGGCTCAGTGGTTAGCACTGTCACCTCACAGCAAGAAGGTCACTGGTTCAAGTCTCGGCTGGGTCAGTTGGCATTTCTGTGTGGAGTTTGCATGTTCTCCTCGTGTTTGCGAGGGTTTCCTCTGGGTGCTCCGGTTTCCTCCCAAAAGTCCAAAGACATGCGGTAAAGGTGAATTGAATAAACAAAATTGCCCACAATTCCACAACATGTTACTGTCATTTTACACAGTAAATTACATTAGTGTCACTTTACAGGATTTAATTTGATGTTTTCAGGATTTTATTGTGAAATTAAGGCAAGCATCATGATTACAGCAAATTACTGTAAAAGGGGCTATATCTTTTGCATGTTAGTTATAGGAACTCAAACACTTAATATTTTATTCAGCATAGAAATTAATACACATTTACTTTTATGCTAGTACAGGCACTTTTTTGTTGTTTAGAAATATTTAAAGAATTATTGTTATTATTAAGTACCTCACAGTAATATGCTGTGAATTTACATAC